TCTTGCCCCATTTCAATTTTCCTTTTTAATCTTGTCTCTGTGTTCCTAATCCAATTTGATTGCTATTTGCTGTCTCTACTTAGTGGTCTGAACTTTGTGCCTTGGTCATGGTACCTTAACTTTCAAACTCAGCTTTGAATATCTTTAAGAGGAAAGTTCAGTCACTCTGATAAATTATCGTAAATTTATTTCATTTTGGTATAATCTGCCTCCAAACCCAACCCAAATTCTAAAATCTGATGACTTATGAGTTGAATATGGACTATAAAATTTTTTGGCGGGTGGGGGGCAGAAGGTTTTAAATTAGAATTAGTTGACAGCATTTAAAAACTCTCCTGAAAAATCTAGGTGATTTGGTAACATTGGCCACATGCTCCTTCATGGTAACAATCAGCTGGAGCTAAAGGTCCCTTTTCCAGTCTCCCACATTCTCCTTGTTCCTCCACTCCCAACCCACGATCTCCCCAACAATTAGCTAAGTGTCAGTTTTCATTTATCATCTTATGTTCTGTTCATTTGACTTACTTTATTACCAGCCTGGCACTTTGTAGGCATCTGAGTTTGTAATCCTTGATAAAGAAAGTAAATAATAGGAGGGCAGAGACCTTGCTTATCTTGTATACCTTTGTATTCCCAGGGTCTAGCTCAAAAAGTATTTGTTGAATAAGCAAGCTTTTATTTCAGAAGAATACTTTTACTATTAAAATCAAACTAGAAGGAAAAGAAGTTGAATATATATAGAATTGTTAAAGATCAAATGAAAAAGATACAATTTTGCTAATATGGGTTTGGGGCTCAAAGTTAGGACTATGACACAGGGGGAACAAAGCTAACCATTTCAAATTAAAAACAATTAACAGATTCATTTATCAATGTATATACCATACTTGTTATAACACCAACTCATTAGTAAGGTGATTGATTATATTTATATATATAATTTATGTATTTAGATATGTAAAATTATTTAGATATATATTTAGATATGCAATTTATGTATTTAGGTATGTAATATATATTTAGATATGTAATTATGCAAGAAATAAACTTCATTTTTCCCCTCTTAAAAATTTTACATGTACACAAGAAATGCATGCTCATTGTAGAAAAATTATACAATACAGAGAACTAAAAAAAGTCACCAGTCATTCTACCACTTAGAGGTAACAATGGATAAGATTTTGATGTATGTATATTTTGATAAATACTTTTTGATGAATGGATACATATGTGTGGTTTAGATTTACATGTATGTGTGTGTATATATGATCATACTTTAAATACAGCTAATTTCTGATCTCAGAAAAATCGATTTAATTCAGCCAGTATTTGCAGACTACTATATGCAAGGCATTATTCCAAGTCAATGTCAAGATGTAATATCTTTTTTCATAGTCATGAAATAACTGAATTGTTTAAAAGAGCAGATGTTAAATAAACTAGTCTGTGAGAACAGCTGAAGATAATTACAGTTGACCCTTGAACAACACAGGGGTTAGGGGTGATGGCCCTCCGTGCAGTTGAATATCCTCCTATAACTTTACAGCTGGCCCTCCATATTTGCAGCTCCACATCCGTGGACTCAACTGACTATGGATTGTGTAGTACTGTAGTACATATTTATCAAAAAAGAATCTGCAGGGCTTCCCTGGTGGCACAGTGGTTAAGAATCCGCCTGCCAATGCAGAGGACACGGGTTCCAGCCCTGGTCTGGGAAGATCCCACATGCCACGGAGCAACTAAGCCCATGCGCCACAACTACTGAGCCTGTGCTCTAGAGCCCGTGACCCACAACTACTGAGCCTGCGTGCTGCAACTAATGAAGCCCGCGCGTCTAGAGCCAGTGTTCCACAACAAGAAGAGCCACCACAATGAGAAGCCTGAGCACCGCAACAAAGAGTAGCCCCTGCTTGCTGCAACTAGAGAAAGCCCGTGTGCAACAAAGACCCAACGGCAGCCAAAATAATAATAATAAATAAATAAAATTAAAAAAAAAAGAATCTGCATACAAGTGGACCTGGGCAGTTCAAACCCATGTTGTTCAAAGGTCAATTGTATTATGAGAGGAAATATGGCAGAATGGAAAGACAGCTCTACTGCATGAGCTTGGATAAGACCCTTCCCTCACTTATGACATTGAAATAATAATAATGTTTACCTTAGAGAGCCCTTATGAGAATTAAATGAGATTATGGCATAGAATGTTTGGCACATGAATACATAATAGTTGTGTTTATTATCATTGTAATGATATTGATCAAATTATGTTGCTAATATACCATCTTAACAGTAACTGAAGTGGTTGTACCAGTTAATCAGAAATGAAGTTTAAGAATTCAATGAATGTGGACTTCCCTGTTGGCGCAGTGGTTGAGAGTCCATCTGCCGATGAAGGGGACACAGGTTCGTGCCCCAGTCTGGGAAGATCCCACATGCCGCGGAGCGGCTAGGCCCATGAGCCATGGCCGCTGAGCCTGCGCATCAGGAGCCTGTGCTCCGCAACGGGAGAGGCCACAACAGTGAGAGGCCCGCATACCACACACACACACAAAAAAAGAATTCAATGAATGCAACTCAATAACAAAAATCCCCAAATAATTCGATTAAAAATTAGACAAAGGACCTGAATAGACACTTTTCCAAAGGCATACAGATGGCCAACAGGTACATGAAAAGGTGCTCGGCATCACTAATCATCAGGGAAATGCAAGTCAAAACCACAATGAGAGATCACCTCACACCTATTAGGATGGCTTTTATCAAAAAACAAGAGATAACAAGTGCTGGCGAGGATGTGGCAAAGATGGAACCCTTGTGCACTGTTAGTGGAAAGGTAAATTGGTGCAGCTACTATGGAAAACACTATGGAGGTTACTAAAAAAATTAAATATAGAACTACAATATAATCCAGCATCCCACTTCTGGGTATATATCCAAAGGAAATGAAATCAGAATCCCTATGAGATATCTCAACTCTCATGTTCATTGCAGCATTATTCACAATAGCCAAGATATGGAAACAAGCTAAGTGCCTATCAACAGATGAATAGATAAAAGAGGTGTGTGTGTGTGTATATGCATGCACGTGTATGCACGCACACACACACACACACACACACACAAACTCACACACACACACACACACACACACACACACACACAGAGTTGACCCTTAAGGAACGCTAGGGTTAGGGACGCCTACCCTTCACGCAGTCAAAAATCTGTGTATAATTTGATAGTCTGATCTCTGATTTTGTGGTTCCACATCCACAGATCAAACTAACTGTGGGTCCAACCTACTATGGATCATGTCGTACTGTAGTGTGTATTTACAGAAAAATATCCACATCTAAGTGAACCCGAGCAGTTCAAACTTGTGTTGGTCAAGGGTCAACTGTATATAAAATGAATATTATTCAGCCATGACAAAGGAAATCCTACTATTTGCAACAACATGGATGAACCTAGAGAACATTATGCTAAGTGAATAAGCCAGACAGAGAAAGGCAAATACTGTAGATCTCACTTATATGTAGAATCTGAAAAAAAAAAAAATCAAACTCATAGAAACAGAGAGTAGAATAGTGATTACCAGGGAATAGAGGGTAGGGAAACAGAGAGATCTGGTCAAAGGGTACAAGTTATAAGATGAGTAAGTTCAGTTGTAAGATTAATAAGTTCTGGGGATCTAATATACAGCATGATGACTATAGTTAATAATACTTTATTATACACTTGAAATTTGCTAAGAGAGTAAATATTAAGTGTTCTCACACCACACACACACACACACACACACAAACACACGTAACTATGTGAGGTGGTGAATGTGTTAATTAACCTGACTGTGGTAATCATTTCACAATGTATATGTGTATCAAATCATCATGTTGTATACTTTAAATATATATAATCTTATTTGTCAATCATACCTCAATAAAACTGGCAGGGGAGAAAAAAATTCAACTGACTGAAGATTTTGAGAGAAGTGAGTGAAGTTTTTCACTTCTAAGTTATCTCTCTTACAAAACTAGGGTACTTAAAAAAGTATAATATAAAATCTGCTTATTTGGGACTTTTACACTAGCACTTTTATAAACTAGGAGATGAAGAAAGAAATAGTAAGAATATCTGAATAACTTGGTTAAAGTTCCTTGTTTGGAGAACTTTTGTAGAGCAAAATAATCCATATAATTTTTTTTTTTTTTTTTTTTGGCGTTATGCGGGCCTCTCACTGCTGTGGCCTCTCCAGCCACGGAGCACAGGCTCTGGACGTGCAGGCTCAGCGGCCATGGCTCACAGGCCCAGCCGCTCTGCGGCATGTGGAATCCTCCCGGACTGGGGCACGAACCCGTGTCCCCTGCATCGGCAGGCGGACCCTCAACCACTACCAGGGAAGCCCTAATCTATATAATTTAAGGAAATATTTTAAATTGTTAGATGTATCTCAGAAGACAATCACTTTATACATACTTGCAAAATAGTACTTATTATAGTATAGTTACTTTTTAGTTTCTACTTCTGTCTTACCCTCATCTCAAGGGTAAGAGGTATATCTTATGCATTTATTGATTAAAGAACTTAATGAAGAAACCAAAACTCCATAGCTTTAATTCCAAGAGGAATTAAAAAGTGGAACTAACTCAGGTCTTTGCCTGGTTATCAGGATATTAGCACCTGAATTATTTAAGCAGATTTTTCAGAATGGCTCCAGGTCCTGACTCATCAAGATTAAGAAGCCTGGGTTAAGGAGACAGAAGGCAAAGTTTAAACGTGAGTGTGTTTGGTAGTGTATCTGCCTGCATGTCTCAATGAATTCAGAAGCATATAGAAAATGTTTTTAAATTATTACTTTTTATTATCTGCTCAAGCCCTCTAATGGAACACATAAGAGAATAAGCTCTGAAAAGAGTGGAATGAGATGGCCACTAATAACAGAAACATTTCTCAAATTCCCTCAGAAAGATGAAAAAGTAGAGGGCAAATAGAGTTTAACCTACCTCTCTCTTTGCAAAGGACAAAAAGGAATTCAGCAGCAATTTGCTTGACTCCCAGGTCAACATGTGTCATGAGGCGCACCAGCTTATTTCTCACAGTTGAGCCAACTTCAGGTCGATTTGTCACATCCCTCAATGGTGGTAAAACCTAATGGCACAAATGCAAAACCATCATCAATCGTTTAAGTATTAGAGTAAGCGAGAATGGTACCAACCGAGCTTAGTTTTTTAAGAGTAGAAAAAACATTAAAAACTAAATAGGTTTGCTTCCAAATAGAATAAAGCTAAACAAAAAACAAACCTCAAATAATTTCATGCCTGTAATGAAATTTCATTTGAAGTGAAACATCTCTTCACTGTACCACCATGATAGATTCAAACCCATTCCTGAGTTTTTACTCATCTCAGCACCTGGAATGCCCCTGCTGCCTCTATCAAAATCCATGTTAAAGTCTGGGTCAAATTTCTCTTTCCTCCTTAATACCCTGACTCATATTGATTTTTCCCTTCTTTTAATTCCTGCAGCATTTTCATTGTTTACTAAAAAATACCAAAAACCCTGTACATATGTTTTCTAGTTGTTTTATTTTATAATAAAATGGTTATTAATTATTGAGTACTTCTTATGTGCTAGTTGCTGTAATAGATGATATGCATACATTCTCTATAATCAACCCTCACAGGAACCTTGCAAAGGAGGTAGTAACATCACTATCACCCCTATTTTATAGACTGATCCTCAGAGGAATCACATAACTTGCTTGGTTTATCTGTTTGTTTGCTCACTCACTCACCCATCCATGCATCCACCCAGACCCCTCCTCTTTTGGTTCTCCACACTGGTTGCTTCATCTTAGCCTCTGTGCCAGTTCTCTTTTATCCTTTTGTGTTTAAGTGCTGGAATATTCAAGGGTTAAGTTCTTGGGCAACATTTCTTTACTATTTTCACTCTCTATTGGTGATCTCATCCAGTTTTACGGCTTTGTATGGTCTCTATTTACTGATAACTCCCTAAAGTATATGTCTATCTTGATTTCTTCCATGACCTCCAGACTTTTATAGGCTTCTCAAATTTAGCATGTCCTAAGCAGAATATTGAAGCTCCCAACAAAGCTGTTCCTTCTACAGTTTTCCATCTCATTAAATAGCAAGTCTGTTCTTCCAACTGTTTACTGCAAACACCTTGGAAACAGCCTTGATTCCTCTCTTTCACATCCCACATCCAATCCACCAGCAAATTATTCTGGCTCTACCTTTGAATTATATCCATAACCCAACAACTTCTCACTATCTCCTCTAGTATTACCAAATTCAAGCTACCAATATTTCTCATCTGAACTATTACCACAGTCTCCTAAGTCATCCCTGCTTCCATCCTGGTCCTTCTATGATCTATTACATAGCAGCTAGGATGATCCTTTGAAAGTCAGATCATGTCACTCCTCTTCACAAAGTCCTCCAGTTCCCATGGCTTCTCATCTCACTCATAGTAAAAGATGAGGTCCTTCCAAATTCCTTAAGTTTCACATAATGTGGCTTCCTGCTTCTTTTCTGACTTAATTTCTATTATATTCCTTGCTTACACTGCTACAGTCTCACAAACCTCCATGGAACTCTTTATACTCACCGAGCACTTTCCTACCTCATGGTCTTTGCATTTGCTGTTCCCTCTGCCCAGAAACTCTTTTTCTGGAAACTGGCTTGGCTCATTCCCTTACTTTCTTCAGGTCTCTGTTCAAATGTTATTTATAGGAAGACATTCCCTGACCACCCTATATAATTAACCTTCAGCATTCTCTTTTTTTAATCCCCCTCCCTCTGCTTTAATCTTCCTCACAGCACTTATCACCACCTAACACAGTATATATTTCTTTCTTTATTGTCTGCCTTCTTCCACAAGTCAGTTCCATGGGGGCAGGGATTTCTTTCTCTTTTGTGTACTGCTCTCAGTGCCCGGCATATTACAGGTTTCGATAAATATTTGATGATTGAAGGAAGAATGAATTAATTCAAGTAACTTTTTAAAAGTGCCTACTATAAGCTAGGCACTATGCTAGGAAATGAAGATAGACACAAAGTCAAATTATAATTTACTATACCAGACTCTTTATGTGTATATTATTTTTTATTTAATCCATTCAGCTGACTTCCTTCCTTCCTTATCTCTTTCTATACGGAGTACCTACCATGTATCAGGAGGTACTGGAGGCCCTGGAGATACAGCTGTGAAAAAAACCCGGAAACTAAATGTCAGAAAACTGAGTAATCTACCCAAAGTGTTTATAGAATCCGTGTTTCAATATCTCTGGTAGGATAGAGCAAAATGCTCTTTGTGATTATCTCCCATTTCTAGAGGAATGAGACATGTAACAAATGATTTCATGTGGTATGTACCTACAGTTCCAGAGTATAGTATCTATTAATAAAGGTTATCACACAAAAATTTTCTTAGCTATGTTTTGGGTTCCTTAACAAGTTTTTGAAGTGAAATATTATAGTCTTCATTGTTACATATCACGCCCTAACTGCATATGTATGGAGCATTTCTATTTCCCCCCAAATACTACCCTCCATTAAATTTTTTCTTTTCTTTGAGAAATCTTGTCCAGTTCCTCTTTCAAATCCATAGCATCTTCATCTCTTCTATTAGCCTCTCCAGATGAATCCAACCTGAATCAGTAATTTCTACCATCTGTTCTCTTTCTACCTGCCCAAATACTGAATACTCAAGACCAATTTACTTTGGGTATGCACGACTTGGATTTAATCAGGAATTAACTATGGGGCACAATAATTAATTAGCCATGGTTCCATTTACACTATTATCAAAGTTAATCATCTGTTACTTTAAGTTCTGCCCTTCTTGATCCTCATAGTCTATAGTGCATCTTCCTCAGAAAGAAAGTGGATTTCTGTATCGTGCCTTGTATCTTTCTTTAGTTATCTTTTACTTGTCATGTCTCCTTCTTTATCTGTACTGTAGTATTTCTTTGAGGATAAGGAGTGGGTCTCACAATCTTTTGTATCTACATAATGTATAGTCCAAGACCTTCATATAAATAATCTGTTTAACAAACAGATTTTAGGGGGGCTATCCTGGTTAGAGATGGCAAAATCTAAACAGTTTAGTTGAACGTGGATCTCCTCTGTGAAAAAGCTAAAATATAGAACACAAAGTATTTTCATTTATTATTCTCCACCAAGTCCTCCTAGTCATGATAGAATGTCTTAAAATAATCAAACTTGGAAATGACCTTAACTCATCAATTAACTAATTTATTTTGCTTAAATGATTATTCATGCTTTGATGGTAGCTAGTCATCCAATAGACTATAAATTCTTCAAAGATAAGAGTCCCTACTTTCTAATTTCTCCTTATCAGCAATATCTATTAATGTGCTCTACACACAGTAAAGTGCTTATTAAATCTTGACCATAAACATATGGGGGAAAATGAACCTAGTTAATTTATTAAGAGAAATTCTATATGGCAATAAGTGAACAATGGGGTGAATGGTGGTACCATGTAGTGAATGAGGAAAGAAGGGGAAGACAGGGTGGGGAGGGATGGGAAATCAAGAGATTAGTTTGGGATACGTTAACTTAAGATACCTACTACACATCCAAGGGGAGGAGATGAGTAGGCAGTATGTTATATAAGTCTGGAGCTTAGGGGACAGGTCAAGGGTAGAGACAGAAATTTGCGAGTCATCAGTGAATAGATGACTTTCAAAACCATGGCTGTTGAATGAGACCAACAAGAGAGTAGAAATGGAGACAAAGATAATATTGCCTTGGGGAGCTCAAACACTGCAAAGAAGAAGTTCCCTGTTGTGTCCTAGACACCAAGTGAAGAAGGTACTTCAAGTAGGAGAGAATACTTAATTACATCAAAATGTTACCGGGGAATAAAAAAAAGATTTGAGAACTATTAGATTTGGCAATATCGGGTTGATGATGTTTGACAAACACCTTTGTAGTAGAGTGAAAAGCATGAAAACCTAATTACAGTGGGTTCAGAAGAGAATCAAAATGAGTAAAAGGAAGAGAGTGGGTGAGCACAGAAAACTCTCCTGAGGAACACTGCGTAAAGAAGAGAAGAGAAATGGAGAGGCAGCTTGAGAACTGGGATTAAGGGAAGGTTTTTCTGCTTTTAAGATGGAAGATGTGTTTGGGTGCAGACAAAAATGATCCAGTACATTAAAAAAAAAAGATTAATATAAGAAGAAAGAGAGGGAGTAAATGCAGGAGCAAAGTTCTTGAGGTGAGAGGGAAAGGTATCCAGGATATGAGTGCAGAGGCTGGCCACAGAAGGAAGCAGGGACAATTCATCCCTTGTGATAGAGCGGGGAGACATAGGACATGGGGGTACAGATAGATGCAGACAGACAGTAGATGCAGAGGTAGAAAGATGACTTCTTACCATGAACTCCAACTACTACCATCTTACTCCGAACCTTCATCATCAGCTCTCTTTTGGGCTGGTCTCCTCACATCTACTCACACTCCTTTAGTCTATCTTATATATAGTAGCCAGAATATCTTTAAATATAAATGAGGTCCCTTCTCAGAACAGTCCAATGCTTTCCCTTCTCACTTAGAAGAAAATCAAAATTCCTGTACAACCTTACATTATTTGGTTCTTGCTTACCTCTTTTACTTCATCTACCACTCTCCCCCTCGCACAATGTTCTCCAGCCTTCTTGCTTTTCCTTAAGCATACCAAAGCATCCTCTCATCCAGGGACTTTGAATTCGTTCTGTCTGGTACATTCCTCTTCCAGAATATTCTCAGAACTATTCTCAGAGAATATCCTCTTCCAGATATTCTCAAAGATCCTTTCCTTACTTATCCAAGTTTCTGCTCAAATGTCATTTCCTCAGAGAGGTTCTTCCTTACTCCCTTAAGTTTTCCCTTCCCCTGTATCTTTCTTCCGAACAGTTATCACTACTTGCCATTGTATCATATATTTATTTACTTTTTGTCCTCCTACAATAAGGGAAACTCCACAAAGCAAAGACTTCATTTGTATTTCAATGCTTAGAATACAGCACACAGATCTCAATAAATATTTGTTGAGTAAATGAATGAATGACTCAAAAAAATAGACCGGGTCACTTATTTCTGGATTAGGAAGATTTCAAAGATTTAACACTAACTTTTTTGAGTTTCTGACATTCTGAAAGAAAATGACTGTGATAGAATTTGACTCATTAATTTTATGTTAAAAAAACACATATAAGATTAACTTTGAGATGTTAATATGCATTAAACAGTTACCTGATCTTTGAGAAATTTTCTGATGTTTCGATGGGCTCGGGAACATTCTGTTAATAAGCTGAGAACTGGAGTTAGACCCTCTCTATAGCTGCTTCCCTACAAAGAAAACCATACATGCTGCATTAGTTTAGTTTCTAACAGTTTACTTTTCTTCATATAACTGAGTATATTAATACTCTTTTTTTGAGAGGGAGACACCTTTATGTTACCAAAGCTGTACAAACTATTTTAAAAATTATTTTCCTAAAAATATTTCCATTTCATTAGTTATCTTCATGTTTACTAATGCCCATTTTTATCCTTCCTGGATTTTTCTACATTTTTTGGGGTCCTCACTGGCTCAGCAAATGGGCTTAAACAAGGCGAAGGTTTTGATGACCAACCCATCCTAACTTGCTGCCTTTTAATACAGATACTCGACAAAGCAAGTGACAGAAAAGAGAAAATAAGCAGCTTACAACAAATGGAAAGTTGACAAATTTCTTTTAAAGATGTCTTTTAGGTGTTATGGAAAGTAGTTATCATCAAGTTTTGGGGGGGAGATACTTTTACTTCTAGAACTTACAAAATACCTACATAGAAAAGTAATTACTTTTTCCTTTGTTTTCAGGCACTAGTCACAATTTTGGTGTCGCATCAACACAATTTTCAGCTTTAAACGAATAAATTCACTTGGTTTCAGCAATTTATCATTTACTACAGTAAAATGCTTTCTGGAGTATAAATAATTGTTCAAGATGTCAGCTATAAAAAAAAAGCTTAGATTCAAAAATCACATCCTGTGATGCCTGTATGTGTGTACAATTACATTCTTTAGAAGCATCTTCTCAATTTTATCAGTCTTACCTTGTCTATTCTCTTCTCCATAAAACTAAGTAAAACATGAATGGCCTCCATATTCATACCATTGTATACCATGGTATTATTTTTCAAAACTGTTTCTTTCTCAGCTGTTTTATCACTGGGCAGTTCATCTAGCGTCGTTGCTTCTGGGGCTGTTTCTTCATGGGTTAATGGACAAATGAGAACATCCAAACAAGAGACTGGAACATTGCTTAAAAGGTTGACTGCATTGCTGAAAAGCAATTTAAAAAGACAATATTTTAATTTGACTGACTAGTCCTTTAAAACACAAACATAGTAAGTTCAGAAGTGACTTTTAGGAGTCAATTAAAATTCTTCTTTTTCAAAATGAGCCTTTAATATTATTTGGCATTTACTGACTAACAGAAAATAAAGAGAACTGTTTCAAATACGCACATGACAAATTAGAAAGAACAGATGTTAAATGGACACACAATCATATGATGTCATGTCACTTTCTGAAATGCTAAAATAGGAATTAGTGAGCTTTAACACTAGCTCTTTAATTTTATTATGATACAATACTAGATTTGCAGTTTTTCCTTGGGATTTTAAATCCTTTTGTGGATTCACTGATGTCTTATTATTCCTCAGATTATAACATAAAGCATTTGAGGAACACTGTATATAAGCAGCTTATCACAGAGGCAACAACATTAAAAACCAAATATTGTAGGATGAAATTTTGTCCTTTCTAGATACAGAAATACAATTTTTAGATCATCCCTTATTTCATAAGACATTTGCAGAAAATGGTAAATGGTGCTTTTTCTCCTCTCGTCCCCAGATTTCTTTAAAAGAGGCCAACATAGCTACTTCAAATCTCTATCCCCCTAGGCCTTTCTTTCTATGTATTAATGAAATAATGAGCCCGGGATGCACACCAGTAGGGGGAACCCAAACCTTGTATTTTTTTCCCCTAAAAATCTTGTTCCATTTATTGCTCAGTGTATAAGAGATTAAAATTAAAATTGTTAGTGTTTGACACTAACAATTTAAAAATTAGACATGCTCTCAATTCATATATTTTCCTTCAAGCATTATTTCATATTTTTTCTTTTAAAAGGAGAGGTGGTGTTCTGTGCTAACTGGATCTTAAAAGCCTGTGCCTCAGAACTTCCTGATAAACAACAATGGAGAGACAGGCATTACATTTCCTAGTGACAGAGAAGCAGATCTAAAAATAACAGCATCCTGACTAAAAATAAACTCTTGCAAATACAATTTAAAAGTCTAACCACTTGGAAACCAAATTCAGGGCTTAATCTAAGTGATGCTATCTTAATTTAGCCCATAGTAGTTCCTTTTAATTTAGATTATAGTGACACCCTCAAATATAAAACAAAATAAACAACAACAAAACAGAAATAAAATACAAAATATTTTCTCTCCTTTACCCTGAAGTGTGGCTGCATTTCCCCAAGAATGAATATTTCTTTTTTTTCTTTTTATATTACGGGAAAAAAAATTCATAAGAACTCAAAGTTGAAAAAGTAGACAATGGAGAACAATAACTGGTAATGTAAAGGGCACCAAAAAATCAGAACCAAGAACAAAAATAATTTAACAAGTCCTATAAATGAAAGGTTCCTGGTAAAATACAAGTTATTTGGTTGCCCCCACTAAGAATCTACTACTGCTGCTGCTGCTGCTATTACTACTACTACTATTCAACAATGTTTCTAATTTTGATTATTTGTAAATAATTGCAATTGGCTGAAATACGATGCTTTTCCCTCAAACTTTCCTTTTAAAATTTTTGTAAACATCTGTAGTTCCTTATCTATAGATAAATATATTGCACTTCTGACTTAAGCATTTGGAAACTGTTATTAAATATCATAGATTCACTGGGGTTAAAAGAAAAAAAAATAGAACTCTACCTTAGAATTACTTTCTAAAACTGTAAAAGCCACTTTGAAATGTTAGGTTTTTTTCAACACATAGAGCAATAGGCTGGAGTCCACCAGTAGTATGATTCTCTGAATCTACCATAGAGACCACACTGAAAAGTTTAAGGCAATGCATTTCATTACAAAGGAATGCTTCCCTTTAAATTCATTTAAAATAAGCAGTTTCCAGGAATTTTGTAAATTTAAGAAACCAAATGTAGAGTTTGATTCAACAAATATTTGGAGGTTTTAGGCTTTTCAAGAAAAGTTCCCATTTTCTCGTTTCTTATTAAACAACTGGGTTCCCAAACAACTACAAAATTAATTTTCTGGCTCACTGTGCTTGAGCTATTCTTTTTAAGTAAGGAAAGCCAGCTTTTTGAGCTGTCACTTCTCTGACAGTTTTATTTGTGGTAGAAGAGTGTATGAAATTCTCCAGCTACCAGGAAGTCAGTGACTATGCACAGATCTGCACAATGGTGTTTGCATTCCTACTCCAGGGGGTAGAAGTACTGTGTATATTACTCTCCCCTTTTCAGCTTCCTCGAGATCATTAATCACTGGGACATGACATCCTCCCACTCATACTCCCACCCCCCTCCTGATATGCAGATTCAAAAGCAGGGCCTATTTAGAGCTCCTTAATGCTCTGATTAAAGCCTTGATAGCTGTGGGAGAAGGAAGGCAACCTAAAATCCAGGCCTGTATCAATCGAGGGGCTAAACAATTTAATACCAGATGACACTAAGGAGCATGATAACAGTACAAGCAGACCTACAGCTGTTGGCAAACTTTCCTGGTCAAATGTATCTTCTTTACATTTGGGGCTCACATATCGTTTTTCATGGCTGGAAAATCTACTTAAATGAACCTCAAGATCTCCAAAAGATTTTCACATGTAAATACCTAAGTTTACTTTAGTCTAACTCAGTTCAGTAATTATTTATTGATTACTTATGCCAGGAATTTTTTAGGCAGGTATTACGAAGAAAATAGAAATAAATCCCTGCCCTTCTGGAGCTTATTTTCTAGCATGTAGAGAACAGTCAATTAAAAGTAAACAAACAGGGCTTCCCTGACGGCGCAGTGGTTGAGAGTCCGCCTGCCGATGCAGAGGACACGGGTTCGTGCCCCGGTCCGGGAAGATCCCACATGCCGCAGAGTGGCTGGGCCCGTGAGCCATGGCCGCTGAGCCTGCGCGTCCCGCAACAGGAGAGACCACAACAGTGAGAGGCCCGCGCATACCGCAAAAAAAAAAAAAAAAAAGTAAACAAACAAAAGAAGTTAATTGAATAGAAGGTGATAAATGGTCTGAGGGTAAAATTCAGGAGGTAAACAGGACATGTGAGTTGTAATTTTGAATAGGGTAGTCTGAACAACCTCACTGAGATGGTGTCATTTAAGCAAAGACTTAAAGGAAGTTAGGGAGTGAGCCCTGTGACTACATACGGAAAGGGCGTTCCAGGAAGAAGGGCAGGAGCAAAGGCCCCAGGGCAGGAGTAGTGGCATGTATGAAGAACTGCAATGAAGTTGGTGTGGCTGAACCACCACACACAGGGCGAGGAGTGGGACAGGAGCTCAGCTGGGTAACAGGGGGCCAGATTGGTTTTACAGGCTATTATTACTTTAGTTTTTATCCTGAATGAAATGGGGAACCACTACAGGGCTTGGCATAGTAATATACTCTATCCTTATGTTAAAAGGATCACTCTGGCTACTGTGTTGAGAACAACTAGTAGGATGTCAAAGGTGAGGAAGGCCAACCAGTTAGGGTGTTATTATAATAACTCAGGTGAATGAACACGGTGGTAACAGTGCAGTGGTCAGATCTGGATACATTTTGAAGATTTCCTGATAGGCTAGTTGTGGGGTGTGAGAATCCACGGTTCTAGCCTTAGCAAGTGGAAAGCTAGAGTTGCCATAAATTGAAATGAGAAACACTGCAGGAGAAGCAACATTTTAGGGGAAGAGTAAGAGTGTAATCTTGGATATGTTAAGTTTGGAATGTCTGTTATACTTCCAAATGGAGATGTTAACAGGAAGTTAACTGTAAGAGTCAGGGAGATCAGGGAGGGAGATCTGGACTAGAGATATAAACTGAGGAGTCATTAGCATGTAGATGGTATTTAAAGACCAAGACTGGATTAGATCAGTAAAGGAGTGAGTGTGGATTGACAGATTATGAGAGATAGGCCTGGGGCACTCTACCATCCAGAGGCTGAGTGGGAGAGGAAGAAATTACAACTAGTGAGGTAGGAGGGAAACCAAGATAGGATGGTATCCTGGAAGAAAGTATATCAGTAAGAATGGAGTGATCACATGTGGTCAAATGATGTGGACAGATCAAGTGACTGGATTTAGAAACACAGAAGTGACCTTAATAATCGCCATTCTGGTGTAGTGGGACTAAAACCTGAGTAGACTAGATTCAAGAGAGAATAGTAGAAGAATCAGATAGTCGATACCTAGAGGAGGTTTACTGCAAAGGGCAAAAGAAGACTGGAACAGCAAATCCAGGTGGCAAAGTGTTAACCCATAGGGACCTGGTCATTGTTCTCTAAGTATGCTGTAGACACAGTCTCATTTCTGTATTTGTCCATGTTTTCTCCTGTTTAGAATGGTCTCATTCTTTAAGATTAGCTCAAGTCTCACTTTATTCTCAACAAATATTTACTATGCCTTGTACTAGATGCTAAGTATACAAAAATAAATAAAATATGCTCCTTTTCCTAAGAGAAGACAGCATAACATAATTTGTAGAGCAATGGGTTGAATTCTAAGTTGCCTCCTAGAAATGTGTGCCTTGGGCAAATTACATGACCTATTCTAGGCCTTGGTGTCCTTAATTCTAAAGTAAAGGGAAATAAATTTATCCCATCAGGTTGATGTGAGGATTAAATGAAAAAAGGCATGCAAAGCACTCTGCCTGGTACATAGTAAATGGCAGCTATTAAGGAGCTTTTGAACAGGAGACATACTATACTATAGGAGGGAACAGCAAATATCTGGAAGAATGAGAGAATATGGTATCTGTGGGGAAATGAAAACAGGTTCCTAAGTCTAAAGCAAAGGACAAGGCCTCTAAAGGACAGGGCCTTAGTAGGCATAAGACAAAAAAAGTGTGTGTATGAGTGTGTAGAGTGGGGAAGGGGGATTATAAAGGGGATTGCCATGATGAGATACATGTTATGGCCAAATGGGTTACTGATGACCTTAAACCAGAGTTGTGCTGGCAAAGGAGTAGGTGCAGAAGCCAGAAAAACACATTTCCCAGATGCATTTGCGGATCATTAATAAATGCATAGTGACAAAATAAGTT